CCCCCCCCCCCCCCCAGCTAGAGACTTGTTGGAAAGAAGGCTGGTGCCTTATATGAGGTTCCCTTAAAAGATACTCTGCAGATGATGCTGGATCCTTCTGGGGTGAAAATGGGGAATATTTCCTCCATAAAGCAAGCAGTGCCTGTGGTGTGCCACCCAGGGGAGTCAAAAAAGTCAATCTGATGGACACAATTGTGTCGCTGAAGTTCTGCCCTTTGAGGTGGAGCTTCACAATCACCCGGTTGCAGCTGTCATCTTGAAAGCAGATCCCCCTGGCCAGTGAGCAACCTGGGTTGGACCCACAGCCCTTCCTGTCTTCCCACACACCCTCCCAACCCCATCCCTGCCTTCTGTTCTCCTTTTCCAACCATGGCAGTTTTAGAAACTTGGTAAATGGTGGTTTGGTGCACCACCCCATTGCTCCCCCCAATGCTTCTGGGTGACGCAGCCGATGGGACCAGATTGAGAGTGGGAAGAGTTCCTTCTGTCGTCCTAAAGGTTGTATGCTCGGTGCTGGTTTGCTGACTGCAGGTGTGAAGTATACAGAGGTCACTCGGGGAAGATCTGGGCTGGTCTGGATCCAGCTGGCGTTACCACTTTGGAAATGGGGAAGGGCTGGATTTCCATTGTCATGGCAGAGGAAGGAGGGGAGGCGACACAGAATACCTTCCCGAAATTCTTCACCTCTCCCTTCCTTCCACCAAAGGATTCCGCGACCCACCACAGGAACTGAAGTGCAAATTCTCCTTCCATAGGACTGTGTATTCCCACTTGACAATCTTTCTGGGGAGGTTTTTCCAACTCTCAGCAGGTACCTGTAAAACAACAGCACACAAATTCCACTCTGCCTCTGTGTGCCAAAGGACTCAGTTGGAAGAGTTGTTGTATTTCTGTACATATTGCCAGCAGGCGTAATACTGTGATTATGAATTATTATTAATTATTATTACTATTTTTAATGCATTTGCTGAAAATGAATGAGTTTGATTGATTTTTTATTATTATTATTTTAAAGTTTTTACTTCCTTTGGGGGGAGGAATTACTGTCGATTTTTTAAAAAGGAAAAAAACACCCTAGAAATGTACCGTCTGTGTGTTTCCCGCCTTACTTTAGAAAAATGCAAAACCTTGTATTAATATCTTGATGATCAAGAACTGTTTTCAGATTTTCTGCCACTGCTTTCTACTTCTTCCCCATCTCATCTTTTCTATCTAGATCAGGTAGCATTTCTTACAAGCAAACCCACCCTCCCACCCACCCCTATAATAATACAGGTTCCAATTTGTTCTACCCCAACTTTTGCCTGTTTTTCTGTCTTCAGCGAGGGCTGATTTCGAGGTACAGCAAAAGGAAGTAAGTCAACATTTTTGCTCTGTTAACCCAAAAGTATGCTTAGTTTTAGAGTTGGGGGCTGGGAAAAGTATGATGATGATGATCCCAAGTTCACCTCTGTCTTGGAAAGCAAATGTTTCATTTGCTTGCAGGAGGAAATTATGGGTCCAAAGGAAAAACTAGTATATATAGCCCACAATTCATCCATTACCCCCTACAAATTACCTCTTCCATTTATTCTGATTCTTGATTACAGCAGGGCATCTGTT